TTGGGTGCTATTTTAAACTTCCTTAAGTTATAACTTCAGCAAAGACAGGAGAATATCTCCAGGGGAACTGGGGATTTAGAGTCTTCTTATGTTTCTGGATCAGGAAAAACAGAATTCTCATTTTAAAATTCTTTTAAAAGCAGATGAGAGTTTGTGAGAGAATCACCATACAGAGAAGGAGAAAAAGTAACAGAAGTCTAACGAGCACAGTGTAATTGGCCTGTAGAGATTTTACCTCTGAGGGAAAAGAGTTGCTTTTTCCCAATCCTACATCTTGCCCAGCCCTGCTCTTCCTGGGACAATGCTGTCCTCTTGTGCTAGAGGTAAGGCATTCATGCTCAGAGGCTCTCCAATGGTTTCTTAGGATTATGAGTCAAGAAACAAGGATTTCCTTAACACACAGCCTCCTTCTAGGCTCATGTGACAATTAGTTTGAATTTGGTTACTACAGAGATAAACATCCCATTTTGGCAGTTGGTTTTAAGAAAATATATTTGGGTGGCCAAATAGGGGAGAAATTTCTTTCAAATACCCCTGAGAAATGAGATACTTAGCACAGGGCTTTTACTGCATTCATAGGAACCATTGAGTCTAGTTAATACAGGTCGTGTTCCCTGTGTCACATTGCACCCTCCCAGCACCTGTCCACTCTTTGAAATCGGGGCCGGAGAACAGATTTGTGCTAACCAGAAGGTCACTTCACCTGGATAACTGGCTTTACACCTTCTGTTGCTCCAGGCAGTGCAGGTATGCATTAGGAAGTGGGAATAAGGTGGGGAGAATAATTTAGTCAATTAACAATTTGGGGAAATCTCACGCTTTCCAGGTGGCTTCTTTTTTGAGAAGAACACTTCTGATGTGTAACTTTAGGAAGCTTGAGTCACAGTTCTGGGAAGGAAAGTTGGTTCAGGAATGTTCTTTATTTTATTATTATTGTCAGTTAAAACATCAACTTCCTTTCAAAAATCTGTTTTTAACTTTTATTTACGTAGCAAATTTTCAAAAATGTTTTAAACTTTTTTTTGTTGTTTAACTTTTTAACCTTTTATTTTTGGTTAAAAAAATCGTTCTTTTTTACTATTGGTGTTATATCCTTATTCCATTATCCTCCTTACCTCCCTTGCTCCAATGAATTGGGATAGACTTGAATGTACGCTCTCTTTAGGCAGATGAAAAAAGTGCAGTTGGTCCTCCTAATCCACGAGTTCCATGTCCATGAATTCAACCAATGGTTGATTCAAAATATAAAAAAAAAATTCCAGAAAGTTCCAAAAATTTGAATTTGCTGCAGGCTGGCAAGTATTTACAGAGCATTAGTTTGTATTAAATATTATAAACAATCTAGAGATGAGTTAAAGTATACAGGAGAATGTGTGCATGTTATATGCAAATACTAAGCCATTTTATATAAGGTACTTGAGCATCCATAGATTTTGGTGTACACTGGGGTCCTAAACCCCGTGGATACTGAGGGATGACTACAGATCATGACAGTTGAACTGGGAGGGGCAAGTTCATTGGCAAAGTAGTTTGTTTACTTCCAGAAAGAAGGAATTTATAAAACATGAAGATGGTACAGAAACATGACATGTAACTCCGAGTGTTTCTATTTGTAATCAATACCTTGCTGAGCCTTTAAAGGAAACTATTGACCCAAGATCAGGGATTCCTACATTTTCTTTGTCAAGCCCTTAACTATTATTACTGATTAAGGAGTGAAAGACTCAAAGCCACCAGAGATTATCATCAGATTTTTCAGCTAAGTCTTCTTATTTGGTATCTAAGAATACATTAAATAATCATTAACAACTTCTTGCACTGTATTTTTTCCTTTTATCCCTCTCCTGGTGAACTCGTGTTGCATGAATTGTTTCATATATTATAGCAGAATTAGAAACTACCTAATTCATCTTCTAGAAATAACTCATAAAATATTATTTGTATGTGGTCAAGTTCCACTGCCAGGTCTTAGGCCCTGATTTTGCCTTTTGAGGTCACTTGTCTCTCTTTCATACCTGAGGTCTTTGCCAGTGATAATTTTGTATTCCAACTTTCTCCTTTCATTAGCATGGAAAGATAGGTTTCCTCCTTCTTTGATAGAAATATTACAAAGTGACTTGCTAATCTGAAGCTCTAGAGTAAATTCTAAAGAATTAGAGAACATTTTGTACTTTTATTGCTTCCCCTTGTAACTTACATAAATTCTCTCTCGGAGTGGGAATGGTTTATTAAGTTTAGTTTATTCACAAATAAAAGAAAAATTATCACATGCAAATACCCATAGACCCTTCTCTGCTGGCTAATCTAAGCACCTCTGCAGTTAGCTGTTCTTACTGTCATGAATACCCCCAAAACAAAGTATGATTCTCATTATATATTCAATGGCACTGTCTGATCACAGAGAGCAAGCAGATAATATCTCCTTGGGGCAGCTGTGCACTTTCTGTACCCAAAGGGCAGAGTGATTAGAGGGACAGAGTATGTCGGAAATCTAGAGTAGACTTTGTTCAGTCCATGAGGTTTTTGGAAGTCACCTGTGATTTAAATAAGGCACAAACAAGGTTACCAAGAGTTCCAGATAGAGCACCAGAGCCCTTGAGCTCTCTGAAATACTAATATATCAACAGGATTAGAAAGTTTGGGCATGGTATCGGGCAGACTAGAGTATTACTTTGGTCATGTGACTCAAAGTAGAGGGAGAATAGCACAAGGATGAGAGAAGATGAAGTTGCCTAAGGTGGGGGGAATGGGTATATATTTCAGATGGAGACAAAAGTAAGGAGGGTTAAAGGACAGAGATAGTCAATGGTCATTTCACTGCATCAATTCCAATTAATTATTTTCCCATCACATTATCGTCTCCAAACTATAACGATCACTATCCAGAATACATATAAATAGAATCAGAGGAAATATACAGCCAGTTTCCCATGATCCCTTAGTTAATAGGCTAGCATGTGTGGCAATTATTTGAGCGCCCATCATGTCCTAAGGAAGACAGTTAATGCAACTTTGATTTGTTTCTTGACAGTCGCACCTTGCTGTTGATCCCATGCTCTGCTGTTCTTCTGAAGGAGGAGAAATACAATACTGCAGAGTCTTTCCTCTTAGTCTCCCAGGCAGGTAAAACAAGTAGGTGAAGACTTTTCAGAACTGAGCCTGATCACCCAGGTCTTCATTTTTCATCTCACTGATTCTGAAACGTAGTTTTTACAGTCAAATGCTCTACCCCTGAGCTATACCTCCTGAAATGCAATTTTTGACAATGTTTAGCTACTAAGAAATCTACCTTTTAACTTACAACCCCAAATTTATGATTTTAAAAGGGTGAAAATTTAGTATTCCATTTTCATAGAGAATCCAGAAGTGAAAAAGTAAATAAAAAGCAAAAACTGTTCGTACCTGTTAGGTTCCATTCAATATGTGTTTGGGATAATGAGGGAAAAACTAGTATCCAGCAAAGAAGTAAAGAAAACAAAACAAAAAAGTCGGGAACTGGCTTGAAAGAAAATGAATACATTTTATACTTAATCTTTTTGACTTAAATGTCTAAGCATTTTAATGAAACCTTTCCTCCCTAAGGAAGAAGGAGCGTTTTCTTTTCTCCTTGGATCTGAGCCACATCAGTGGGTTCTGTTGTGACCCCAAACCCAGAGGAGACATCTAATTGGGAAAACCACACTATTTAGTGTGAGATGGCCATTTGACCTAAGTAACTTCGTAAGATCTTCTGGCACTTTAAATATTGTTTTGATTTATAATTTGGGTTTGGTCCTCAGAGGCTCATGGGCAGGGAAAACCAGACATGGATGAGTGAGTTCATTCTGCTGGGGCTGTCCAGCTGCTGGGAGACTCAGGTCTCCCTCTTCGTCCTTTTCCTTGTCATGTATGTGGTGACCATGCTGGGGAATTTCATCATCGTCCTCCTTATTAGATTGGACAGCAGGCTGAACACACCCATGTACTTTTTCCTCAGTGTCCTGTCATTTGTGGACATCTGTTACACCAACAGCACTGTCCCCCAGATGCTTGTTCACTTCCTGTCAGCCTGGAAATCCATCCCGTTCTACAGCTGTGTGCTCCAGCTGTCTGTCTCTCTGGCATTGGGTGGGTCTGAGTTCTTCCTGCTGGGAGCCATGGCCTATGACCGCTATGTGGCCGTGTGCCACCCGCTGCGCTACACAGTCATCATGCACGGAGGGCTGTGCCTGGGGCTGGCTGCCGGCTGCTTGGTGGCTGGTTTTGTGAATTCGCTGATGGAAACAATCATTACCTTTCAGCTCCCTCTGTGCCATAATGTTATTAATCACTTTGCCTGTGAGGTGTTGGCTGTGCTGAGGCTGAGCTGTGTGGACATCTCCTTCAACATGGTCATGGTGACCATCTCAGGATTTCTGGTGATCATGCTTCCCTGCGTCCTTGTCCTCTTCTCCTATGGTCACATAGTTGCTGCCATTCTGCGTATACGCTCCACCCAAGGACGCCACAAAGCCTTTGGGACGTGTGCCTCCCACCTCACTGTGGTTTCCATGTGCTTTGGAACAGTCATCTTCACATACGTGAGACCCGCGGCTGGCTCCTCAGCAGAACAGGAGAAGATGGTGTCCCTGTTCTATGCTGTGGTGACCCCAATGATGAATCCTTTCATCTATAGCTTGAGGAACAAGGAGGTGATGAGTGCCTCAAGAAGAGTGCTGGGGAAATTTAATGAAAAAAAGTAAAGATTCAAAGAAATTCTTCCTTCCAACAGCCCATAGAATGACATTCTAAACAAAGAGAAACTGATGGACATGCCCTTTCTCCTCAGATTTGTTGAGACAGTAGATTATGGTGAGCAAGTTCTTCTAGACTGACTTTCACGTTCATCCACATTTTGACACTATGTGTTACTATTATACATATGGTTAAAAAAAAGCCTTCAGTTATTAAACTGAGGTCTGCTGGGTAATCTGTCCTCCTAGACTTCATATTCCCCCTTTTCCTTTCCTATTCTTCCTGCGTATTTCTTCAGGAAATGCAATATGAACAGTAAAAAGTCTCAGGGTGAGAACAGCCACACTTTGTATCACGACCCCACCCCTCACCAGCAGTGTGGCTTTGAAGAATGTACTTAACATCTCTGACCTCTAATTTCCTCAACTATAAAAAGAAGTAATCATATCCAGTATGTATGATTATTTTGAAGATTGGGCATTAATCTATGTAAATACCTGGTCGAACAGTGGCACAGAATAGATAATCAACCATTTAAAAAAATGGCTTGTAGGGCACAATTACAGGGCTACACATTACACAACCTTCTCTCTCTATACAATTATTCAAAATGAACTTTTTTCCTTTTGCGGTGGCTCTAGTAGACCACTGTTCTATGTCTGCTCCAGGTAATCACCTTACCCAGAACCATGGCATCCATCCGTCCATCCTTCCATCCATCTAATTTATCGTCTCTCTCTCTCTCTTATATATCTATCCACTCATCCATCCATCTATCTAACTTATCTATCTGTATACATCACACATATTTTTTTAGTTCCAAGCCAGATAAGACCTTTCTCATGATCTCCAAATATATGCATCAGTGCTTGCTTAATGCCTTCACTCACTTTATATAAACCTCAGTCTTAACATAGTTAAAATAGGGCTATTGTGCTTGCTTCCTCTATTGTAAACTACTCTCCTCTTGCCCCAGTACACCTCCACTGCGTTCGTAAAAGGAACCATCATGCATCAGACTAATGTCTTGTTTTCTTTTTTTTTTAATACCCTATCCAGCAATAGATTTCACTAGCTTTGTCAACAAAATATGTGATCTATCTGGTCTCTCTGTTCCACCTCTGCTTTCCACATTCTATTCTGCACATAACAGCTTTAATTTTTAAAATTATTTGTTTCTGACTTTATGTTGTAAATTAAAACACAGGCAGAACACCACCCTAAGCAAGTGTGTAGCTTAGTGAATTATTGTAAGACACACCCCCTTGTAACCACCTCTCAAGTAAAAAAAAGCAGATCTGCCAGCTACTGCAGTAGACCCTCCACGTGCCCCATCCTAATCACTACTCCTTTTTCCCAGAGTAACTGCCATCTTGACCTTTATAGTAATCACTTCCTTGCGTTTCTCTATGGCTTTATTACTCAAGAAAGCATCCCTAGTCACTGTAGTTTAGTTTTGCCTGTGTTTTTCAACTTGATACATCTTTGAAGTCTCTTTATAGGTCCCCTCCAACTCTTTCTTTTCCCTGCAATTTACTTGAGTGACCTGGGCCATTTGACCTGCAGAAGTCTCCTTTATCTTAGAAAATAAATCAGGTCACACTTTTTCCTGCTTAGAATAAAATTCAAACTCCACATGTGCAGGGCCGGATGTGGTCTCTTTTCCTGCTCTCATGACACACTGGTTGTCTACCAGGGGAAGAAGAAAGCACATAAATCTCTATAAAAAGAAAATTTATTTTTCTATAAGTCATGCATATTCATGGAGAAAATAATTGTAGACCTGTAAGTTTTTTTGTATGTGAAATCTGTGACTTACTCAATCTATTAATAATTTATTAAGAAATACTAATTAATTTAGTAATAAATACTACCTTTTCACTGAAAACTCTGAAATCTATCTGTTAGCATGGTGAATAACTGGGCTCAAATTTCTGAGTAAAATCTCAAGAGTAAAGATGTTTTGATCTCCCACTTTTAAAAAGGGTAAAATACAAGTTTCTGCCTTGGAAGGGGCAAAGTGTTGTGTTAACCAGTTAAGACTGTAAGCTTCTTGAGAGCAAGGACAATACATTTTATCTTATTTGTGTTCCCAGTGCCTTAACAATGAGACTAATTTCCTGCTGATTGAGTAACTTACTGATTGAAATGTTCTTTACTATTTTAAGGGTTGCATTTTATGAAATATATAAAGATAATACATGTTGAAATTTAGGATAATAGTAAATAAGGCTTTAAAAAAATCTCAGGTACAGAGTTCATTGGTTAATAACATCCCATCCACTGAAAAGTATTATTACCTGTACGAAGCTTCTTTTATTAATTAAAAATTAATTCTCTTTTATCCCCTTTTTCCTTTCTGTGTGGACAACTATTCTAATATGTTTAACGCATGTAATTATGCTTTAGAGTGCATTTATATATTTTTTTAGAGAAGCATTATATTGTTAAGTACTCATATTATATCTTAGTTTTTTTTTTAACTCAATGCTGTATTTTTAAGATTCAGACATACTGCTAGTCCACTACTTGTAACTGTTCAGAGTAATCCATGGTGTTCACCATATTTTAGCTATGACTCTTTGTTATGATACCCAGCTCCCCACCACAACATATAGCCCCATCATAATACATGTGCCCTGAAGGACCTGTGAGAATTTATTTAGGAAATAAATACAGAAGTCAAATTGCTAGGTAATAGATAATGCTCTCCAGCATGGTGTTATGAGTCTATACTCTTACTTCAGGGCATGAGGGGTCTTATCTATCCACAGCCTGCATGTTTTGAGTTTTTTCTAGCCTAAAAGATATAAAATTGTTTTACTTTGTATTACTTTGATAAGCAATCAGTATGAACACATCTTCACATTCTGAACTCCTGATTTCATCTGCCATCACCCCCACCATTCTATCCATGCCTTCCCCACCTCAGCTCATGATAACTCCATCACTGCAGGGCTTGGGCCATTTCCCACTCTTTTCCTCACATCTTTAAAGTGATTTAAATTGGCAAATGTAGCCTGTTTTCTATTTTCAAAATATACACACCGTATAATCAGTTCTCCACATCTCCACTCTCACACCCTGGGGTGAGCCACCATCACCGCCCCCTCGAGTTACTGCGGTCACCTGCATCAGATTTCTCTGCCTCTGTTCTTGCGTCTGAGCACTCGGAGTGATCTCTTGAAAACATATATCAGGTCATTCCTCTTCTCAATCCTGCAGTTACTCAGAGTAATACCCAAAGTCTCTACAATGGGCACGGCCTTTTCTCCTAACTCTGCTCTCTACCTGGCGTGCTGCTTTCTCAGGTAGCCACTTCCTCAGCTCCTCCAGTGCTTCATTTAACTATCATTACTGCCCTGTTTGATACTGCAGACGTTCTCCTTGCCCCCACTCCTGTACCCTCTTACCTTGTTATTTATTTTTTCCAGAGAATTTATCTTTTCTAACATATTTGCAATTAACTCATTGTTTAATGTCTGTCTCCCATCCTTCCACTGCCCTCAGAAAATAAGGCCCTTGAAAGCTTTGTTTGGTTCATACATATATATACGCACACACACACACCAAGTGTCTAGGATAGTGTCTGTCTCATAGTACACAATAGGTATTTTTTTCTGAGTGAACCATGTTGTCAGCCTTCTGGGTTCTATTGTTATGCACTGTTCATTTTCTATGCTTTTGGGGGCGGTTTTTTGGGGGGTTTTCTACCATTTTCTTGTTGGTGTGTATATTATAGATATGAATCTTTTTCTGTTATAGCCATTGGAAAAACATACCTTTGATCTGTCACCTCTCTGTCAACTTTATTTATGGAGTCCTTTGTTGGACAAAAACCCTTCATTTTGATATAATCCGATTTATCACCTTTTTGTCCTATAATTTATTCTTATGAAGTTTTCTTTTCAAAAAAATCCCTGCATCTAGGTCGTAAAATATTCTTTTTTAAATTTAATTAGGAGTTCCACGTTTACCTTTCACAGTATTTCTTTAGTTTATTTTTTACTATTTTTGTATTTCTTTAGACATTCACTTCTGCATATGTTGTTAAATATGGATCTAGTGTTTTTTCCATGTCGTGGCCTTTTATTAAATAATATTCCTTATTCGATCATTTAAAATAACTTTCATGTACATTAAGTTTACATATGTATGGGTCTGTCTTTGAACTCTGTCCTTTTCTGTTTGTTCATTTGATCTTGTACCATGCAATTCTGTTGTTCTCCTTTTAAAAATTGAAGTATAGTTGACATATACTAGCATGTCAGTTTCAAATGTAAAACAGTGGTTTAACATTTATATACATTAAGAATTGATCACCACAAGTCTAGTAACCATTTGTCACCAATCAAAGCTATATTTCCTATGCTGTACATCACAGTCCATGATTAATTTTTTTATAACTGGAAGTTTATAACTCTTAACCTCTCTCACCTATTTTGCCCAACCTCCCACCCCTCTTCCAATCTCTGGTTTGTTCTCTTTATCTAAAGATATATTTCTGTTTTGTTTTGTCAGTTGGTTTGTTTAATTTTTTAGATTCTGCATATAAGTAAAATCACACAGTATTTCTCTTTCTCTGTCTGATTTATTTCACTCTTTTTTTCCCATTCTTTTTTATAGTTGAGTAATATCCCATTGTGTATATACATACATACCACGTCTTCTTTCTTTCCTTATCTATCTATAGATCCTTCGGTTGCTGCCTTATCTTGACTACTGTAAATAATGCTGCAGTGAAAAGCACTCCTGTAGTACATACATCTTTTTGAATTGGTGTCTTTGTTTTCTTCAGAAAAACACCCTGGAGTGGAATTACTAGATTGTGTAGTAGTTCTATTTTTCATTTTTTGAGGAACTTCCATACTGTTTTCCATAGTGGCTGCACCAATTTACATTCTTACCAACTGTCTACAAGGGTTCCCTTTTCTCTGCATCCTTGCCAACACTTATTTGTTGGCTCTTTATAATAGCATTCTAACAGGTGTGAGGTGATAACCTCATTACGATTTCGATTCGCATTTCCCTGAATGATCAGTGATGTTGAGCATCTTTTCAAGTAGTTTCTGTTGGCCATCTGTATGTTTTCTTGGAAAAACATCTATTCAGATCCCCTGCCCATGCTTAATAGACTAATTTGTTTTTTGACATTGAGTGTGTGGTTTCTTTATATATTTTGAATATTAACCCCTTACGGAATATACCATTTGCAAATATTTTCTCCCATTCAGTAGGTTGTCTTTTCATCTTGTTGGTGAGTTCTTTCACTGTGCAAAAATTTTTGAGTTTGATGTAGTCCCATTTGTTTATTTTTGCTTTTGTTTCCTTTGCCTGAGGAGACAGATACAAAAATAGTAACTGCTCAGATCAGTGTAAAAGAGTGTACTGCCTGTGTTTTCTTGTAGAGTTCTATGGTTTCAGGTCTTATAATAAAATAGTTAATCAATTTAGAGTTTATTTTTCTATATGGTGTAGAAAGTGGTCCAGTTTCATTCGTTTGCATGTAGTTCTCCAGTTTTCCCAACACCATTTATGGAAGAGACCATGTGTTCCCCAGTGTATATTCTTGCCTCTTTTCTCATAGATTAACTGACTATAGGTGTGTGGGCTTATTTCTGAGCTTTCTATTCTGTTCCATTGATGTACGTATCTGTTTTTGTGCCAACATCATACTATTTTGATTACTGTAGTTTTGTAATATAGTTTGAAATCAGGGAGCATAATACCTCCAGCTTTGTTCTTCTTTATTAGGATTGTTTTGACTGTTTAGAGTCTTCTGTGGTTCCATACAAATCTGAGGATTATTCCTGTTCTGGAAAAATGCCATTGATATTTTGATAGGGATTGCATTGAACATGGAGATTGTTTTTGGTGGTGTAGACATCTTAATATTAATTCTTCTAATCCATGAACACAGCATATGTTTCCATTTATTTGTGTCATCTTCAGTTTCTTTCATCAGTGTCTTACAGTGTTTCAAGTACAGGTTTTTCACCTCATTTGTTAAATTTATTCCTAAATATTTTATTCTTTTTGATGCAATTGTACATGGGATTGTTTTTAAATTTATCTTTCTGATAGTTCCTTATTAGTGTATAGAAATGCCACAGGTTTCTGTATATTGATTTTTTATCCTACAACTTTACTGAATTCATTTATTAGCTCTAACAGCTACATAGTGGAATCTTAAAGATTTTTTATATATAGTGTCATGTCATCTCTCTCTCTCTCTCTTTTTTTTTTGGTCTGACTGCTATAGCTAGGACTTCTAACACTATGTTGAGTAGAAGTGACAAGAGTGGGCGTCTTGTATTATTCCTGATCTTAGAGAAAAAGCTTTTAGTATTGAGTATTATGTTGGCTGTGGCTTTGTCATATTTGGCTTTTATTATGTTGTGATATGGTTCGTTTATAGTCAGCTCTTTATAGAGTGATGTATTCCATACATTTTTTTGAGTAATTTTTTAAAGTTCCCTGAAAAGTTCACCTGAATTTTCATTAGGCTTGCATTGAATTTGTAGATTCATTTTAGAGCACTGAGATCTTTATGCTATTAAATTGCCCCATCCAAATCATGAGATATATTTATAGTTATTCAGATAATCTTTAATGTCCTACCTGAATTTTTCATATTTTCTCCATATTTGTTTAACAAGCATTAATTAAAGATCTATTATATGTTAGACATTCTTCTGGATGTTTTGGATACAACAGTGAAAAGCAGATAGAAATACGCACCTTCATGGAGATTACATCCTACGTAAGGGAAATAGACAGCAAATACAGAAAATAAGTAATGATATAGTATGTCATATGGTGTTGATTACCCTGGGAAAAATAAAATGGGAAAAGTAGGTAAAGAGCATAGGAAGGACGGAAAGTTTTGGCAGACAGCACCATAGAATTCATGTGTACTCCCTGCTGAGAAATTCCTGAATACTTTATAATTTCTAAATACTTGATAGCTATTCTACTTTTAATATTTATTTATTTATTTATTTATTTATTTATTTATTTATTTATGTTATTGAAATACAATTTATTTTGTTTTCCTAGTTAGAAATTGCTGGTGTACAGAAATGCTATTGATTTCTATAAGATGCTCCTGTGTCTGGTTCTCGCCTAATAAATCTAATATACTGTTGAAAATGTTCCTAGAGATATAGTCATATCATCTGTGAATAGTGATAGTTTTCCTTACACTCTTTTGTACATCTTAATCTGTTTTCTTTTCTTGTATCATAGTCTCGAACCTCTAATATCATGTCAAACAGTGGATATAAAGCTGGCATCCTTTCTTGTCCCTGATCTAAAGAAAGGAATCTACAGACTCTCCATTAAGTATACTATGCTCTGTAGATTTAAGAGTGTTTAATATGTACTAAGTTAAGTTTTTAAGACTGAAGTGTGATAAAGTAAGGGAGTACTAACTCTAGTGTAGATCAAAGCATAAAGTAACTACAATTAAAGCTGTGGTATTGATACAGAAAAAGACATGCATCAATAAATCAAAATATAACCCCAAAAGAAAATTTTATATATGGAAATTTAGTATTTCATAATTAATTTCAAATTGATTTAGGAAAATATGTTCTACTAATAAATGATATTGGGACAAATGACTATATTAACAGGAAAAAGAAATGTCACCTTTCCTATTATACGCCATAAAAGATTAATTACTAATATCTGAAGGTGAAAAATGAATCTTACAGATGAGTTTGTTTGTTCCCTTTTAAAACCATGCTGAATAAGAAATGGCAATAAGTCCCCAAAGCAAAAAGAACAATAAGTAAGAACAAAGTATTTTGTAAGAAATGCCAGCAACATTTTGGAATCTAGAGAGCAAGCCCTCCCCCCCGCCCCTTCTCTTATCTTTTCAAAGTCCAGCTAACTTAGGCTACACTTCCCCTTTCAATGCCAATGCTCACATAGGTAGTATTTCTCAGGCAGGTTGCTTATTCTGCTTAGAAAGTGGTTCTCAAACCACTGGCTGGAAGATGCTATTGTTACCAGCTCCCAGAATAAGCCCTTTTCTGGGGCAATGTCAGGTAGCTGAGCAGAGGATGAGAGCAACATGGTCACTCTCACATAGACAAGGCGCACAGTGGAAATCTCCCCTCCTACTCTTGGGGAAGGGGAATGGGAAATAGAGGTACTATTGCACAATTCTTAACATCCTCACTAGAGATTTTCCACAGAGAATGGTTGTACTTTTATTTAAGATTCTGAACAGTGAAAATCCTTAAGTACAAACCAGGCTATGGAAGTTCGTCTTCCTGAAAGTGAAGGGAAGGGTGAAAATTCTAAGGCTACAGGATGTCATGGTAGAATTCCAAGCTGGAGAGCAGCCAAATAATATGCAACATTTGTCTAGGGACTCACATAAAAAAAGTCTCCCTGCCCCATGCTCAGATTAGACAATGTACCACAGAGCAGCCCAGTGATCCCCTGAGCTGTGTGGCCCAGGGACTATTGCTCATATGAATGTGGAGATATATGAATTGGAATGAAGAAGTTGCAATTTAATCTTCATGGTCATAAACTTGGGTAAAAAGTCCCATCATCCAAAGGAGTTATCACTGAACACTCAGACACACCTCCCTTGAGAAATTAAAGTTTGGTGAGCTCCTTCCCGTGCTCCAGGGGCAAGGAGACAAAACTCTGATTTGCAAAGTTGAAATGTAGGTTAAGGTGTTAGATGCAGAAGTGACCAGACAGAGGGGGAGGGAAAATAAAAGAAATGTAATAAACAAAAAATAATTGGCCCCTTGAGATTTTATCACTAAAGTTAGAAAGTTACCTATTCCAATTGCACTTGCTTCAAATTCCACAACTTTCCCAGCCCTGCCATCTTTTCAAGGCACACAGTGGGCTCCTCCATTCTCCAGAGGTGAGTCAGGCATTTTCCATCTTTCTTCAGCACTTATTTAGGAACATAAATTGTGACACCAGTTTCCTGTGAAACCAGTTTCCATGCCCTCTCCTGTATTCTTCATGCCTAAGCATATGGTGGCTTGATATAGTTGTCCTCTAGTAGAAATTTATTCTCAAAAATATGTTCTGGCTATTCAAACTTTGTTTGTGAGCATACAGCCAAGTAGATTTGAGAAGTTTGTGAACAGCTTGAGCATGAGTGAGTGTGTTGATGTGTGGCACCAAGGTGGGACACCATGGAAAACATTCCTACAATGGTAGGAAGAACTCCTGGTTCTTTTCTCCACCTGGGTGATAATTTTGGCTTACCTACATAGCCACTCAACATTTTATGTCTGCTTTTGGTGTGTTTGCCAAGTGACCTGGAAACAAAGCCCATCTTTTATGTTAGTGTGATAGTAACCATTTACATAAACAGTGGGGGATACGTTGGTACTATTTATAAGCACTTACCACTACAGAGAATAAATTCCAAGTTCTCCCTGGGAGACGGCTCAGAAGGGGCAGATCTTCCCAACCCTCAGTCCAGGACACGTCATCATGCCACACCTCTTATTTGTTAGGGATATTCGTTTGGCTAGACTAGTTTTGTTAACCTTAATTTCAAGTCTTCTTTTGAAAGCTGATTTTTAAAAATTGGCCCTTGATTTATCCATTTCTGATATTAGATCATTTTTGTTTCCTTATTTTTCATGACCAGACTTCTTAATTTTTTCTTAGAAAAAGAAGAAATGGCTCCTGCCATGGATCCACTATAAGATGTGTGTTCATCACCATATGAGACACGAAGCAGAAGCATGATCACCTTCTCAAGTTTATAAGAGGGGCCAGTTAGTTGTGCACTGCAAGAAGAGAGTTCCAGATGGGGGAGGTGTCCTGTGTTTCTTCTAATGTTGCTGATGTGGCTTGAAGGCCAGACTTCAACTTCACAGGTGAGTGGGAGGGGCCAACTCTGGTCCACCATGGGCTCAAAATGGGATCAAAAGTAGGAACTCAATCAGTCCTCTTGATATATCTCCTGATTTTCATGTTAGGTGAATCCACAGCTTTTTTAAAATGGCTGTTGCTGTGCTATACACAGGGTCATGCTATAAATAGGAGCAGCTTAATGGCTGTGCCCCAGGCTATCAGATAATCCTGTTTACCTGCTGACCCTCCACTGCCTGTCCCTTAACCTCTTTTTCCCATCTGTAAAAATAGAGATAACAAGCCAAAGTTCAGTGTTGTTGTAAAGATTAATAGTAATATTATATTACATTAGTGTATATATAAAGTATGTAGTATAATGCTTGGTACAAGTAAGTGTTCTACAAATAAAGTGTTTATAACAACTCTATATAAAATTAAGTGTAATTGTGATTTTATTTCTTCTCTTACCATTCTTCCCACCTCAGTGAATGTTTGCACCATTGCTGGGCAAAAGTATTTCAGAGGCTTGTTTATTTTCTTCCTGTCATCTACCTCCAAAATAATAGACAAGACTGAGAAAGATGTTCTAAAACTGAAACTGACCATTCAGTGATTCACAGGGCAATTGACTTGGTTTATGACAGACAATTTTACAACTAAATAGGCTTTACTTTGACATTACAGATCACTTTTTAAAATAATATTAAACATATTTTATTTAAAAATTACTTGCAAGTAATGTGTCACTTGGAAATACACTTGCCTGACTTACTGAGCAATACCAACATGGCTTTAAGCACAAATACTCCTTTTTTTAAAATATGTATTTGAAGATAGGCAGAAAAACACCCTTTGTTTTATTGTTGTTTGATTGATTTTTAAAAACTGACATTTCTTCCTGGTTGTAGAAGTGTAAACAATGCAAATGAACCCATAATTAGTCACCACCTTCACATCCACACCAACTATGTGCACATACATACCTGCTGGTAAACCTGGATGAGCTGCTGTGTGACAGGTACATTTGAGCCCTGGCAGTCAGGACTGAGCTTGCCATGTAGGACCGATCACTGGTATTCCTTTAAAGAGCAGGTCACAGTAGAAACACTTCTTGGAAACAGTTCACCCCACTTTGGTATGTCTTAGGTTTTCTTTGTGATTTACATAGTTGTTTAGTTTAATGAAATCCTAATACCAAGCATGAAGCACAAAATAACTATGAATTTCTTCTATTTCTATGTTAGCAATTTTGAAATATATATATGTATATACGTGTATACACACACACAAATACACATACAGTTGACCCTTAAACAACGTGGTTTTGAGCTGCATGGGTCCACTAATATGCATATTTGTTTCAGTGGTAAATACTACAACACTACGTGATTCATGGTTTGTTGAATCTGTGGTTGCAGAACTGCAGATATGGAGGGCCAACTGTAAGTTATATGAGGATTTTCGACTGCATGGAGGGTCACTACTGCTAACGACCATGTTGTTCAAGGGTCAGCTGTATCTGTGTGTGGGTGTGGGTGTGTGTGTGGGTGGGTGGGTGTGCGCACGTGCGTATGATGGCTGTCTATAGCCATCATAGTATTAGGAGGGAAGGAGAAAATTTAAAAAAAACAAACACTTCCATGTGGAGAAAATATAGTTAAAATATTTAGGTGTAAAAATGACATCCCTAGATGAACTAGTTATAATGAATTTTCCATTAAACTCCCTTGCCTGTCCCAGTAGACCTGACGACTGCCTCCGTCCAGATATTCTGAAAACTCTAAGTGTACCTACTCATATATTGGAAGAAAGTGGTTGGATAGGGAAGGATGGATGGGCCTTACATTTAGCTGTATTTTGTAGTGTGTTCTCTTTAGCTATTGGCACATCTGTGAAAAAGCACTAGAATGCCAGAAGTACAATTACATAAGGATAGGAAAGCAGAGTAGACATTACCACAGCCCACATTTTTATCAAGACTTTCATGACTAGGAAAATTTCCAACCAGTGTAATGACAGTATTCTTTATTCTAAGGTAAAATGTAGCAGAACAAAAAGAAATTGATGTACAAATAAATATAATGCAAAATAAAATTACAAAGAAGAGAATACACAATAATGAAGACTAGGCTATTCATTTGTAGCCATGAGGCTGAATAAGCTGTTAATTTTGAAAATGCTAGAAAAAACATCATTCTTGATTGTAAACTACCTATTTGTCATCAAGATTTTGATTTTTTAATCTTTTCATAGTGAAGAATATTGCCCATATCTTTAAATAGTGTGCATTTCTTTGCCAATGGTGCAGCTGAGTACCTTGTTCCAGTCGATTTTGGTGTAAGTGACCGAAAGCTTCCAGTCCAAGGCCTTGAATGTGGTATCTGACATTTTGATCATTTCTACTAATTTCTGTGTGATATTCAATTTCTGAAAAGCTCTGCTTTTAGTAAATTCTTAACATTTTGAACTTACTCAAAACAATACTAAATCCAGAATATTTAATGACCAACCGTATGATAATAAACTATAATTTTAAGTCCTCCAACCATCTGTGTCATAAGTGGTGTGATCTCTAACAATCTTTCTAAAAGTTTTTTTGGATGAAACTGGAAACTTTCAATGAATATAATTGTAATCTGCTGTCCATCTATAGTTATAGCATGAATAGGGCAGAAGACATTGGGATAAGCATCTCTCATGTGGAGCCTTCTCATGCTGCCACAGGGCTGTTTCAGAGACCTCAAGCTCCCGTCTGTACGCTTTCATTATGGGTTGCTTTTTCTTTCTTTAGGTGAGCAAACATAAAAGAGATTTTGGTTTTGGCTGAACAACTCTGACTGCCTCTGTCGTCATGTTCTGTAATTAAGACCTGATTTTCTATCCTCCTACCTTCACTGGTGAGGACTGATCACTGCTTTATTGGGAATTGAATGAGTTGTCCCTTCCTTGAGAAAACATTGTTGTTAAGTAATAACCTACCATCATTAAACACTTTATTAAATTCCCCTTGGGGGACATGAGATAAATTTTAGCAGCTATGTATACCTTCTCTTTATTCAACATCTGATTCTTCAAGTTGGCCATCTTGGGTTGACCTTGACCAGCTGGGCCACTGGTGTGAGGTAGGTGTAGCGGAGTTCTTCCACCTGACACTCAAAATAAAAGGGCAAATTACAGAAAATAAATTCAAAGTAACTTAGCAATTAAAAGTATGAAAATATTACTTAAAACATTCAGGATTTCACGGATACATTCCACTGAGGAGAGGTGAGTAGAGTTGTGTCTGAGATTGCTAGAGAAGAAACACAGTAAACAAAAAGAAGTTAAATGACACTGAACATCATGCAGAATTCAGAAATGTGTCTTTCATGTGGGCTTAAAACTTTCTAACCAGAAAGACAGGAATTTTCTCGATAATTACTAAATTGAGTAGGATTTTAAGTCTAAATACTTCATTGATTTCCTTCCTCCATCTAAAGGCAGATGTGTAGGAGAAGAAATTATATTCCAATAAACTGAATTTCAAGAAGGTAACATCTTTTCTCCTTGATTTGCAGCTGCACAGCTGCGTCCCACTGTGTCCTTCATCCATGGATATGTTCAAGCAACGTTTGGATGATGATTTGGCTGAGACATTCTAGGAGAACTTTAAGGTCAGGTGGGTAGGCTCTCCACATGGTCTAAAAACCACCTTCCAATCCCGAGTTTCCATGATTTGTTATTTTGACATCTTTACTTTGTTCCTCAGAAACTCATGGGCCAGGGAAATAAAACACAGACAGGGGTGAATGAGTTCATTCTGCTAGGGCTTTCCAGTGACTGGGGGACTCAGGTCTTCCTCTTTGTCTTGATCTTGGCCATGTACTTGGTGACTATTGTAGGAAATTTCCTCATTCTTCTTCTGATCAGGCTGGACAGCAGGCTTCATACCCCCATGTATTTCTTCCTTAGTGTTTTATCTTTGGTGGACCTTTGTTATACAAACAGTTTTGCCCCACAAATGTTGGCCCACCTGCTTTCAGTCCAGAAGTCCATCCCATTCATGAGTTGTGTGCTCCAGCTCTACATATCCCTGTCATTGGGTGGATCTGAGTTCTTCCTGCTGGGAGCCATGGCCTATGACCGCTATGTGGCCGTGTGCCACCCGCTGCACTACACAGTCATCATGCACAGAGGGCTGTGCCTGGGGCTGGCTGCCGGCTGCTTGGTGGCTGGTTTTGTGAATTCGCTGATGCAAACAATCATTACCTTTCGGCTTCCGCTGTGTCACAATGTTATTAATCACTTTGCCTGTGAGATCTTAGCAGTTCTACGGCTAGCCTGTGTGGACATCTCCTTCAACAAGGTCATGGTGGCCATCTCAGGATTTCTGCTGATCATGCTTCCCTTTTCCCTGGTTCTGTTCTCCTACGGTCGTATAGTTGCTGCCGTTCTGCACCTTCGTTCTTCTCAGGGACGTAGCAAAGCCTTTGGGACATGCGCCTCCCACCTTACTGTGGTTTGTATGTGCTTTGGGGCTACCATTTTCACCTACCTGAGGCCACGGTCAGCATCCTCAGTGGAAGAGGAGAAGACAGTTGCTTTAGTCTATGCTGTGGTGGCACCTATGTTGAACCCCTTGATTTACAGCTTGAGGAATAAGGAAGTTATGGCTGCTCTCCATAAAGTTTTAGAGAAATTCAGAGGTAAGGGATAAAGTAAGAACTTCTTGTTATCTATCATCAAAATCAAAAAGGAGATCAGAGAAGTGAACATGGGACTGCCACACTCACACCAAAGACTGTTAATGGTTAGATCCTGGCTTTCAAATGAAGAATTCCTTCACAGGATTAATGGATTTCCTTACACAGGCCACACTAGATGATTTACACGTCAGTGATTCATGAGAGGGACTCTTTTTAGGTCATCTTCTCCCAGGTAACCATAGTATTTAGACTTCATCTGCCCATTTTAAAATTTCATTAGTGTATCAGTGTTTAAAGGAATGATCCATGGCTTCATCAAGCGCACCTGGTTTGTGGAATGAATAGACAGATGAATTGCACCAATCAGTTCTACTTATACTTTGTGGAAAAGAATGGAGAATGTCTGATCTTCTTTCTACATGACAATACTCCAGTTATTTGTAGAATAGCCTTATTTCCTCTGGGATAATCACAAATGGTTTTTTCCAACTCTTTCCTAAATAAAATCAGTTTTGGAACTTTCAGTACCCCTGTGTGCCTTGATCTAGACTGTGATGTGATGTCCTGAAATAAATGATATAAAACCCAATATTTGTTCAGACCATTACGTTGGATCTCATTTGCTTTTAAGATGCAAAATCTGTGGCTTCACTGCAGTCTTTTTATTGTGGTCACATATACACTATGTAACATAAAATTTGCCATTTTAGCCATTTTAAATGTACAGTTCACTGGTGTTAATTACATTCACATTGTTGTACAAACATTGCCACTATCTATTTTCAAAATAATTCATCACCATAGTCTTTTATTTGACTAACTTCCCAACACCTGTTTCCTATAAAATGGTTACTAAGTCTTTATACTCACTGTACTCTTTTTTTAAACTTAAATAAAGGTATGTATATTTTGTTCTGCTAATTATTATTGATTTTCACAATTCCCACCAATCTGCCAAGATTATTTTGAATTTTGATTCCAATTCACTCCATTTACTTTGTCTTTTGGTTTCATAGATACAATAAGCAGAAAAATTTATAAAAATAAATCCCAAATAGTACATCTCAATTATATATCACTGAGAACTTGGTAAAAATAAATCCATAATGTTTTATAGTTGGAATCATATAGTCTGCAGCCTTTTCAGACTGGCTTCTTTCACTTAATAATGTACATTTAAGTTTCCTTCATGTCTTTTCATGGCTTAATCATTTCTTTTTGGAACTGAATAATATCCTGTTGTCTGCATATACCATAGACATTTACCCATTCACCTACTGAAGGACATCTTATTTGCTTCTAAGTTTTGGTAATCACAAATAAAGCTGCCTGTAAACATCTTTGTGCAGGTTTTGTGTGGACATATTTTTGACTCCTCTGAGTAAATACCAAGTAGCAGAATTGCTGGATCGTATGATAAAAGTTTGTTTTGTTTTGTAGGAAACCACTAAACTGCCTTCCAAAGTGGCTGTAGCATCCTGCATTCCCACCATCAGTGAATGAGAGTTTCTATTGCCCCGTATTTCACCAGCATCTGGTGTTGTCAGTATTTTTAAATTTTGGCCATTCTAATAGGTGTATAGTGGTATTTTACTGTTAATTGCATTTCCTGAAGACACGTGATATGGTGCATCTTTTCATATGTTTATTTGCCATCTCTATGTCTTCTTTGATGAGGTGTCTCTCAAGATCTTTAGGCCATTTTTTAATCAGCTTGTTTGTTTTCTTATTGTTGATTTTTAAAAGTTACTTGTATATTTTAGAAAACAATTCTTTATCCATTGTATCTTTTGTAAAAATTGTCTCCCAGCCTGTGGCTTGTCTTTTCATTCTCTTGATGTCATTCACTTTTAAGTGCTGACAGAAAACCATGTTTACATATGCAAGAACTCAAAATTACTACCCATTCATCCTTCATTAAGACTATAGCAAATACAACAAAAAACGTGAAAACTTTAGACAACAAAAGATGCTTAAAATAAAGGATTGGGGAGGGCGTGAAACTGAAGTTGTGGTAGGACAGGCAATGAACTAAAACCTTCTAAGTGTAAAATTGAGTTTTAAAAGCTCTAAATTTCTATATGTTGAAAGTGAAGAAACAAAGGCCAGTGTGGTGAGTACAAAATGATGCCGTTGCCCCGACAGGGGATAAGGACTTGGATAGAGCCCAGCGTCTAGAAACAGGTCTTAATTAGCTCTGATTAACCACTTTCCCTTTGGAGACTATCCCAAGTAATTCTTCATGCTTCACAAACTTGTTTATCTGAGGCTTGGCGGGAAGTCCACACTCCACAGCTTGTCCTTCATCATCTGGGCTTTTATCTTAATTTGCTCTAAACATCTGACCAAAACACAAATCTCCTCTGATACCAGTCATTCCCAGTTGTCCCCTGAAACTTGCGCTCCATTACGACAAAGTGCTCCTTATTCTGAGTGTCTTTTTTGAATGTATTCTTCTCTTTCTTGCTCTAACTTCAACCCGACTATTCACTGAGAGCGCTGATGCCCATCAGCCCTCTCAAACACAGACTCATTTTCTCTAGTGCTGGGTAGGAAGATGAAGAGGGTATCTTTCCTGATCTTCTGCCTCTTCCAGACCATAGCTCTTCTTATTTTTCCCTAGCCGACTCCAGTTCCTTTGAAGCATATGCTATCAGACTATCGCACCATCATCCCCTCTTTTTCCCTCCATTTACCATCCACACTCCTTGTTTTACACTGGCCTAGTACTAATTCTGTCATACCTGTGAGAATTTCTGCATTGATGCAAAAGATCCATTCAGTATCCTGTCATCTCAGTTACTTGACTTTTTCTTTCTTTCCAGTTTTTGTCCTCTGACCCACTGCAGTCACCCACTTCTGTGATTATACCTTAAACGCTGCCTCAAGCTCCATGGTCAATATTTGCACTCCCTTTAATGTCTCCGCGTCAAGTACCCCACTCTCTGATCATTTGTTCCTATTTCTATTTTTATAGTTCACACCATAGAGTATAACTTGTAAAATATTTAGCCCCACCGTGACCCCTATTATGTTAACTCTAACACATTTCCTCATCTATTACTGTGTCCCCACATACACCTTCTAATACTACTTCTTTCCTAGCATAGGTTCCAGGTCCACTTGTATGATCATTCCTTATATACACTATGATTGTCTCAAGGACATTGTATTTGCAGTTAACTCTCCTCTTCTACGTCCTGAAGTGCATTACCCATGGAGCTAAAGAAGCTTAAACTTCAGGGCTCCTTACTTGCATGGGGTCCTCCAAGGTACATGGGTGTGTGTGTGTGTGTGTGTGTTTAAGTTATATTTACCTTATGAAAATTTTCACAGTTAAGAAGTTTAATTGCAATTGGTTCAACTAATGTCATTTTTCATTCTTATTTTCCATCTTTCACACTTTACCTAGTGGTAGATGGTACCAATGCGGTTATGAACATTTTGGAACTCCAGCTAAGGGAAACTTGAGTTGAGGTACTGAATTCAATTCCTAAGGCTGCCATGGCTAAGTACCACAAACTAGGTGGCTTAAAACTACAGAAATTTATCTTATCACGGTTCTGGAGTCTAGAAGTTCAAAGTCAAGCTGTCAGTAGGGCCATGTTCCTTCTGCAGCTCCCAGGAAAGAATCCTTCCTTATCTCCTCCAGGTGCTGGTGGCCCCAGGTATTCTTTGGCTTGTGTCAGCATACTTGCAATCTCTGCTTAGATCTGTCTTCTCCATGTGGCTCCTTGTGTCTTCCCCTCTTATAAAGGCACTTGTCATTGAGTCTAGGGCCCACTTCAAATCCAGAATAATTTCATCTCAAAATCTGAACTAATTACATTTCCAAAGACCCTATTTCCAAATAAAGTCACATTCTGAGGTTTTGGGTGGACATGTGTTTTGGGGGACACTAATCAAACCAGTACATGTGCACTTAGTTTGGATTCCATAGGACATATTTTAATGTTATTCTCAGTCACTCCAATTTATAGTTAAATTGCTAGTCACGCAGGTTGGCTTTCAGAAATGGCTTTCAGGAATACTGCTGACTCACCGAGTGTCATTTTTGGAGACAGGAGTTAGTCTGTGGAAAGTTCTTCCGAGTCTTATTGCTGACTTGAAAAGAGATTTAACTAATAAGCAAGAGGTGTAAAATGAAATAATTAAGATAACATAAAAAGGAAGAGAGGCAGAAAAGAGAAACAAAGAACAAATTAGACAAAATGGAAAGCAAATAGAAACATGATAGATTTAAATGCAAGTGTATCCATAATAACACTGAATGAAAATGGTTGAGGCATAATAATTAAAAGACATCATGTAGAATAAAACAGAGAGACTCAGCTATCTGCTCTCTACAATTGATCCGCTTTAAATATAAAGACATAGATGGATTTAAAAGTGAAAAGATGAAAAAAGCATGCCATGCAATATTAAAATTCGGAAGCTGAAGTAACTATATTACTATCAAATGAAGTGATCAGCATAGTAAAGAATATTACAAGGTAAATTGTAGGACATTATATAGTAATAAGGATATTGGTTAGTCAAGAAAACTTAAAACATTCTGGTAATCTAACAACAGAACTACAGATACGTAAAAAGTAGGCAAATTCACCATTATTATTGGAGATGTTAACATCATTCTCCGGTATTTGACAGATCAAGTAGACAAAAACCAGTAAAGATAAAGCAAACTTGAATCAATCTGTCCTAAATGACACTCCATTCAACAATAGAAGAATATAAATATCGACACATGTAAAATAATTGAAATCATACAGAGTATTTTCTTTGAACATAATGGAATTAAATCAGAAGCAAGTAACAGAAACACGTCTGGAAAATCCCCCAAGATGTGTCAATTAAACCCCATTTTTCTAAATAACCCATAAATCAAAAAGGAAATTAGAAATTTGGAGTGCAGGCCATTACCTTTACCTGGTGCATATTGCTAGCCAGAAATAGCAACCTGGACCTTATTCTCAAAGCATTTTGGTGGTTTCAGCCTCTCTCTGGCAGCCACCCAAAGGACAGAAACGCAGGCTTGCCTTTGTTTTGCCAACTCAGAGTATTCTCAGGGCTGGAGTGGCTTTCCAGATGGCATTTACCAAAAGTATTTAAAGGCAAAAGTATCAGCTGCAGCAGCTTGACACTAGAGATAACACTTGAGACCCCCAACAGACAGACTGAAAAGGTTGGGAAGGAAGAGGCTGGGAAAAGACATACAGGGTGAATAAGAGCTTTTAAAACCTCAGGTACATACAAAGGAATTGAGAAGGCTTCACACATACTCGGGGCTGGACTCATGCTTAGAGAAAGCTAGGGAAGACCCAACGATTTCACCTCTAGGTGACCTTCAGGCTCTATACAATAGGAAGTGAGGGCTAAAACAGAGTTGTAAACATCCTGGGTAACTGTTGAAAGTATGCCCCAAACAGAACTAAATATCCATTCAATGGTGAATAGATAACAGTGGTAACATCTGTATACTGGAATACCACTCAGCAATAAAAAAAAAATGAACTGTCCTTTACAATTAAAAAACCTG